TTTGCTCTTTATTCTATTATGACCACATCTCAGGGACCATTTCCAGAGTGCAGCCACCATGTTTTATGCAACAAGGAAGATTAATAGGATGGAAAGACTGTGCTGTGCTGACAGGCCTCTGGGCTGGGAAATACTCTTAAACACCCCAGATCAGGCTTATGTAGAGGACAGACATTTACACTCAGAATTGTGATCCTGAAGAGCATTGCCTGGATTCTGCCTACTCCTTGCTTTACCTAAACTCCTTTTGTGTTTTCTTTCTTAGTACTTACTGTCACTTTAGACAATTCCCAACCCTTAGATTTGTATCTTTGCATATGTTAAGAATCATTGGGAACATTATAAGGCTTATCACAAGTTTTGGGATATTTAGTTCTTATTTGTTGCATCTTTTTCCTAAATGGGCTTTATGTCTTGTCAAAGATATGTCAAAGTACATTGTTTTCTGTCAAACTTAAATCTGGGCACAAAGCACTTTTCATCCCTTGCTTCCCCTACTCACTCATTCCACATTTCCTCAAAAAGAAGATTAAAAGGAAGAAAATTACTAGAATATTTAGGTCTTGCCTTCTTTTTTGCTCTCCTGTGGAAGGAATGGAGCATGTAGGTACCTGTACAACTTATGAATGTGTTGTAGTATTGTAATAAATTGTATAATATTGTGTTATTCATCACAGCCACATTCCTCTCTTACTGTTTTACTCAAATTAGGATCAAGGAATGCTGGTATTAATCAGCCTAATGTTCTTGAAGGGAAAATCTTCAAGCAAGTTGAATATGCAGGACAATTTCCAAAGACAATTGTGGTTATTGCCTCCTTTAATGCTGTGGTTCTGTTTGCCTTTATATGAACAGAAACTGCCTGAAATCAGCACGTTTGATATGCAGCAGACTAGAGGTTGCCAACCAGAAGTGCTGTGGAGAAAATACCCTGGTGGCTTTTACCCAATGTGTTTGTTGTTTTAAATCTTGTTCTACTTCAGTCTGCCTGTGCACTGTGTTTGAATTCTTGAAATACCAGGGTTCTCAGTCCCTCCTCAAGGATATCAGTTCTAAAGCTCTGAAGTCCCTAAATCTTAGCTATGATCTAGGTCCACCTGAAAGAATTCTTGCAAGTGGTTCATGACTCAAAGAAATTAGTGCTGGTACTTAACTGCAAATTTTCCTCATTTTCTCAAATCTGTTGTTTTTCCTCTGTGAACATACTATGCTATTTTGTAGGAGTTTTATTATTTTGTTCGTTGTATTATTTTTGTTTGTTAGTCTCTTTCTTCATTTTAGTTTTATGCCTACTCAAGCACACTGAAGCAGTCAGATGCCACTGGAATTTCACATGTACCTAAGGTAAATGAAGTCCTGTTTGTTCCTTTGGTTTCTATTAGAAAATGCAATATAGCTTATGTATTGCTGAATATAATATTGCATGTGTTCTTTAAGAACGCTAGACACTGTCAGATGCGGATTTTCTTTAATCAGATTGTGTGTATGGTTTATTAAATTGTAAAAGGTCATACGCTCAAGTGGATAAAAAGGCAGTTGGTATTTTGAAAGTAATTATTGACACATCCTGCAATTGCAAGTGATACAGGGAATGGTTAAAGCAAATGTTTGCGTTACCTGTTGACCGTGATAAAATACAGCTAAAAGGAACATTGCCATCAGTAGTAAAGATGCCTCCTTTGTACCCAGGAAGTCTGTGCTGGAAAAAAAAAAAATCCAAAGTAAAGTACAGTTATTGATTTGTCAGTATTGTAATTGTTCAGAAGTTTCATTTTGTAATGCACCCTGGTACTTTTTGTTGTTCTTTAAAAAATCCCCATGTGTTTGAAAACTTAACTTAGCAATAACTAGTTCAAAGGAATAGGAGTGTAATTGAACTTCTCACTGTTTGGAGACAAATGTATTAAATAACTGATTTTTAGCTTACAGTTGGTACACAGAAGGTGATGATCTTTCAAATGTGATATGCAAGCTGTGTGTCACTCAGTCTCTTTTCCTGGGTTCTTCATAAAGCCCCTGCCAAGTAGAGGAGGTGGGATCTGGGTGGGGAAAGTTTGGGGCTGGAGCTGGGAAAAGAAAACTTCCCGACTGTGAAAGGAAAAGCCCAGTGAATGGGCCTAGAGATAAAAGATGAACCTCAAAGCAGGTTCTGAAAGTTAAACATCCCTGTATTGTGAGAAAGGTTCAGAGAAGATGACAGGTGAGTTAAGGAAGGAGGTGTGGATCAAAGGGGAGTGAAAAACATGGCAAACAGTAACTAAGACTGGTTTTACTGAGACACAAATAGGGGCACAGAGAAGAAATGTCTGCCTGTGACAGGGGAAGATGAGCCAAGGCGGTAACGGCTGTATAAAATCTGCTGGATGAAATCACAGAGATGCTGTGTGTGGAGCATGCAGAAAGTGTGACAAAATAAGGTGAAAGTGGTCCAGAGTGGTTAAAAAGGGTTTCAAATCTGAGGAGAAATTACAGCTATGTGGAAAAATAGCAAAACTGAAGAAAGTGAGTATCTCTGTAATATCGGGGGGGTTTAAAAAGGCACAAATGAAGAGGCTGGGGAACTGGTAGGGCCAATCTTACAGCAAACCAAAAAGGAGAAAGAATTAAATTTGGAGGTGAATTTAACATGAATATTTGGCAATTATTTTGTTGAATGGAGAAAAGGAAAGAAAAGGAAATGGTTAAGAGATGCTTAAAGCTTAAAGTTCTGAAAAAAGTTAATAAAGGTGCAAACAAGGAGCAGAATTTGGAAGAGATTTTGGGACATTCTTTTGTCTACCTTGAGATCTAAGAATAAAGCAAAGTCCAGACACGGAATCCATTTTCTGTAGTAAGTTTGAAAAAAAAGTCAGGTGATATTTGTCAGAGGAGAACTCCTATGACAGAGAAATTAGAGAGAGAAAGAGCAGAGCTTGATGAAGACTAAACCGAAAGTAAACTTTCCTGTGAGAGAGCTAACTGAACTGACTTTGTGGGCCTAATGAAGAATTTACTGTGAGGAAATGTGTCGCTATGAGATGACTCATCAGTATAGATCAAAAAACAGGCAGGAAACATCTTTGTCATCTGCGAATATTTTGGAATTCAAATGTTTCCCATTTTGAAGTTGTCTGAAGTACAACCTCCCAAAGATTTCATTCCACAAGGACCCCCTTGAGGCAAAAGCCTCAGGAGTCTTAGTTGTGAACTCGTCGATTATTGCATATTGTGGTAATGTAGCTGTAGCCACAAATGTATGAGCTAGATGAGCTTCGTAGGGAGTTGACAAACGTTTTATTCAACTAATTTGTATAGCTAAGAAAACAGATAAGTTCCTGGGCACACAGCCTTGAACCGCATGCTCCCTAATGTCAGAGTTGAAGTTCAGATCCTTGTCCTGAGTGTGGAGCATCTCAGCTGAGTTCCCTATGTCCTGGGTTATTGGCTACTCTGGAGGATATTCCTTATTCTTTCTTACTCTTCTATGGTAAAAGCCACTAGAGAGTTTCATTGATGCAGAGAATAGAAACTACTCTGAATTCTCAAAGATTTTCACACCAAGGAGAATCTTTCTTTGCCACGCTTCATTAGTGACAAAAATTAAAGACAATGATTGTGATTTCTACATCTAATTACTTGGCAAAGTATTGCTTACTGCCGTTTGTCATATTTGCTGGACTCTACTGTACGTATGCAATATGCCATTAGTCTACAGGAGGTTAACTAGCATTAGAAAAGGGAATTGCATCCCAAATCTTTAGTACCTTGCTACCGTAGGAACCTAGCAAGGAAAGATACGTGTGCAGAGCCTTAATATGTGTAAAGACACGGCTGTTTTGAGAACTAATTGTTCCGCAAATCCATGCTTTTCTGTCATTCTGAGGATCTTCATCTGGCACACACTTACAAGCACAAGCAACTGTGATACTAAATTGGTCAAGTATCAAAGACTGAAGAAGCATTTTCTGAATGAGTTAAATCACTGCTGCTCTAGATTCAGTTATTGCAACACTTAGCGCACCTCTGACTCTGCAAATCACTGTGGCTCTTGTGCCCTTCTCTTTAACTCCTCTTGCTGGGAAGGAAGCCTGGGAGGAGGAGTCTGTCCTTCAAATGCACTCCTACAAAATGGGATCGTCCCTGTATTCCGTATATCTTTCACAACTAGACATTATAATTTGAATTTCATTCTGTTAAAACCCTGCCACAAAAAAAATCAGTTTTTCACTCCTGTTTTCTTAAATTGAGATGAGAGTTTCAATCAGTATCTCTGGAGTTTTCAAGAATAGAAGTAAGCAACGTATACAGACTGTAATGCATATTTTTAGCATCATGGATAGACTATGGGAGACATAAAAGACAAACCTTGCTCATTATTTAAATGTCCTCATGAAATGGACATTTGAATAAAAAGGTCTCAGAAAGAATCACATTATAAATAGTTTTGGATTAGTCATTGCCTCTTGCAACCATCGTTCCATACCTAACTATGATGCTATCCAGTATACATGTACTCTGGCAAGACTTGACCCACTACCTTATTAAAAAGCAGTTCCTAAAGAGGGCTGTGAACACTTACTCTCCATTGTGGTTAAAGTTGTCATATTGCAGAAAAAGAGAAGCGTAAATGGTCTCAGTCAGCAGAGAATAGATCGCAATCATGATGAGAAGTACTGCCAGCTTCAGGACAGAGTTGAGACGAAGAAAGACTGCACAAGTCACCATTGCCAGCACACCAGTGAAGACAAAATACTGAACAGAAAACAGCAGCGGTTACTTTTGGTGGTCTGAGACTACATATTAACTCCATAAATATCTACATAGATGATCGAATGATCAGAAGTACAAAAAAAAAAGTGCTCTGGATTTCAGTGCTCAGCTAAATAGTCTTAGGGTGCAGGACACTTTGAAAATAAGGGTTTTGCTAAAACAGAATGTGAAATTATAAATTCTGTGTTTTGTATGGCTCTTCCATGTTAACACAAATCCTCCTCTGTGCCTTAATGACATTTTAACTGTATCAAAGTGAAAGGGCATCCTGTATAGTGAAAAGAGGAAAAGGAGAGATGTAGTAGTTTGTTAATGAAAAGTAACTGGGAGAAAATAATTTATATTCCTTTGGATCCTGAACTTCCACAAGACCCACATTAATCAGGATGGGAGAATCATGTTCCTGCTTTAATCCTTTACCCGTGCTACTTGAACACAGAATAAAGCCACAGGTTTGGGTGGCCTTTTTTTTTTTTTTTTTTTTTTTTTTTTTTTTTTTTTTAGGTTTTCT